TGATGAAGACAACCCTGTCTTCAAATCCCGGTCAAAGAAGAGGAAAGGCTCTGATGACGCTCCCTACAGTCCCACAGGTAGTGTGTGGCAGCCACCAGGGTGTGACATAGACCATTGTATCCTTGTCTGTGTCCCTGGCCTCTGAGGACTCAGCCCTGTCCTGTCCTTTGGGCTGGACAGCCTGTCTAGGGCTGGAACAGGGATGGTCAGCTGCCTACAGAAGCATGAGAAGGCTCTGCTGTGTTGGCCCAGGACCCCCTGGAAAGCCCTCACCCCTGCTCCCCAGTGTTTGCCTCTGTAATAGGTCATTCTGGGAGCGGCGGTCTGGTACCTGCTGGCTGCCCTGTGGTGGCCAAGGCACACCTGGCAGGGTGGGTGGCAGGGTGGGGTTTTACCCATCTTGTGTATACCCTTCCTCACACCCCAGCTTGCTGGGCCTGCTAGCTTCTGTCCCATGGACATTCCAGAGTGTCACTGATGCTTTGGTGGCCAAATTGATTGTGGCTTCCCATACCATGAGCATGGTGCTTGGGGGTCCCAGACTCAAGGATGGGTTGGGGTAGGAGGACCAGGAGGAGGCCTAAGCTGGACAGGGGCTAAGGGGCTGGCCCTTCTCTTCCACAGCAAGGGTTGGACCTTCGGTGCCGAGACAGGACAGGCCTGTGCGGGAGGGGACCAGAGTGGCCTCCATTGAGACTGGGCTGGCGGCTGCTGCGGCCAAGCTATCCCAGCAGGTGAGGAGGGGCTCACTGAGGTGGGGCCCGTTACCCCACTAGGTGCAGATTCCCCGACGTCTCTATCCCTCCATCCCTACATTCAGACTGCCTGGGTTAGGGGCTGTCTGGCTTAGGGACATGTGATCACAGAATGGGTGTTTCTTCTGGTCCCAAATTCCAAGTGTGGGGCGGGGAGCAGGGATTGATGGCCAGGACCCTGCAGTGAGACAGGTGCCTCCTGTTGAGGTCGGCTGTGCCCTGGTGCAGGGGGGAACCAGGGGATCTTGGCGCCTCTCCCCTGTGGAACCTCAAGGAGGGTCCCTCCCTTCCTGGGATCTGGCATTTTTGGGTTGTCCCGAGGAGCAGAGATGGGGCCTGCCTTCCCTCACTCTGCTTGCCCAATCTCATTACCACCCACAGCGCCTGCCTGTACTGGTCCTCTGCACCCAGCCACGTGGGGAATGCGCACTGGGGCACTGTCACCACATCCTGGTGAAGCCATGTATCTGAAGGCAGCCCAGGCTCTTGCCAGAGGGCTTTGATGCTCAGCACGATGGGTGCCCCCACCCAGACAGGGGAGCATGGTGATCAGGGGCTCATGGTCACTGACTATGGGGTACTGGGGGCCGTGTCCCCCCCACCTCCTTGCATAGGAGAGGCCACTGGGCCCCGGTTCTCCCCATTCCTGTTGTGTAGGTTTGAGCCTGGGTGTGGCCAGCATCTGGCTGCACTGGCTGTCCCCTGACCTTATGGTCCAAGGGGCATCTGAGCTGCCTTGAGGGTAATGGGCATGCATGCTTTGTCCAAAGGAGGAGCAGAAGAGCAGGAAGAAAAAGAGCACCAAAAGGAAGCCTCCGCCTACCACCATCTCCCCGTCTGCCTCTGCTGCCTCCACCTCCGCCTCCACCTCTGCTTCCACCTCCGCCTCCACCTCCACTTCTGCCAGCACCACCTTGGTCTCCACCACTCCAGCCTCCACCACGCCAGCCTCCACAACCCCAGCCTCCACCAGCACAGCAAGCAGCCAGGCCTCGCAGGAGAGCAGCTCACCCGAGCCCCTGCCTGAATCGCACAGCAGCAGCCTGGCTGACCACGAGTACACGGCAGCTGGAGCCTTTGCAGGGGCCCAGGCCGGCCGCACAGCCCAACCCATGGCCCCTGGAGTCTTTCTCACACAGAGGCGGCCCTCCACGTCATCCCCCAACAACACCACCGCCGCCAAAGGTACCCCTGCCCTTTCTGCCCCCTGCTGGACCCTTGGGCACCCCCAACCTCACAGACTCTGTCCCGTGATTGAGGACAGCACGGTGTGAGGGGAGGTTTTGGGCCCGGGACTGCGATGCTGGGGCCTGGGTTGGTTCTCACCTGAGCATCCGCAAGCCCCTCTGGCAGCACGTGAGTGTTTGCAGCCAGCCTGCTCAGGGGTTGGGCCCAGCCTGCACAGTGAAGGAAACGGCCAGTGTTGAGGTCAAAAGATCAGACTGGGGCCAGAAAATGGATCTCTGGTTACCAAGGCTTAGGTGCAGGCCCTTGGCTCTGGGGTCTGATTCGGAGTAAAGGTACAGCCAGCGTCCGGCAGGGCTAGAACCGGATGCCCTTGAGTTGAGCCAGGCTGGTTGCAGGGTCACCAGCCCCTCTGTGTGGTTTAGGGTGTCACCACCAGCCAGGTCCCATGGTATCACACTGTCTACATCTCCTGCCACATGCGGGGGCTCCCCAGGCCCCCTCTGCCTGCAGCCTGGCCTGGACCCAGTTGGCCATGGGAAGGGGACACACTAGCTGCGGAGGTGGCTTAAGATGGCCTGTTCCCAGGGGCCAGGCCCAGGGTGGCCTCCCATCCTAGTAACACCCTTACCACTCACCACAGCTGCCTATGGCCACCGCAGCCTCTGCATTGGATGCATTGCCAGGCCCGTGTGCAGCCGCCGGGGTCTGCTTTACAGAGACGCGGGGCTCGGGTCGCAAGCTGCCCCCATGTCTGTGGGAGCCCCTGCCCCAGCACGCTGCTCCCTGTGCTCACACTCATCCTCCTTTTCTGTGTCCCCTCCCCCACCCCCCTAGGAAAACGTACAAAAAAGGGCATGGCCACCGCCAAGCAGAGGCTTGGGAAGATTTTGAAAATTCATCGGAACGGAAAACTGCTCCTTTAAAGTTTGGAAAGCCAGGATCCTTCTGCTCTGCTCAGGACCCCCCGGAGCCCCGCTAAAACATCAGCCCCCCCAGGAGGGTGGCCAAGCTGCCTCACCCCGGGAGGGCCTCGCCTCCTCCCAGACATCACTCCCCCCAAACGAGCGTCTGTCCCTTGAGCAGGCGGAGCAAGCCTAGCACGGTGGTCCCTCGTTTTGAATATGGACGTCCTTTCTCAAGTTGCTTAGAGTGACCAGTTCCTGAAAAGCGGCCCTGCCAGTATGAGGACAGTTCCAGTTTCAGGACAGCCTCCGGCCACCCCAGAGCGTGGGTGTGATTTCAGGGCTTCTGCAGCTCTGCTGGGAGCACGAGTCCTTCGAGGAAGGTAGAGTGAGCCAATGCTCACTAGCCCCAGAGTCTGAGCTGGCCACAGGCTGGTAGCCTCCAGAGGCTTAAAAAAAGGCAAAGAACACAGCATGAGGAAGAGGAAGCAGGATGTTTGTGGGAACCCTTCCGTTCTCTTCCCGAGAGCACTTGGCTGGCAAGGGGAGGTCTGCCGCCCCAGCTCCCCAGTGGAGGTGGCAGGCTGGATGGTGGTGTCACACCCTGATGCCCAGGGTCATTTGTTTGGGGCAGCTAGGACCAGTAGCTGGGTTGGTGTGCTGCTGGGTACAGGAGCCATTGCAAGGTCCCCAGGGAAGGACGAGGGCTCAGCCACGTCTTGGGGCCCCGGGGGGCCCAGGCTAAGCCACGTGGCAGGGCCCAGTGTGGCTCTGCCGGCTGCACTCGGAGAAGCACTTCTCGGCCCGGGCTGTCCTGCCTGGAACCACTGGGCAGGCAGCTGGCAGCCCAAGGCGCGGGCGAGCACCTCTCTGCTTCCGTGTTGGCGGGCGGCGCCGAGATGTGGGCTCTACCTGGACAGTGTGTCTGCCCACTGACACGGAGGGGCTGGATTTGTTTCTCAGGCAATCCTGTATTTTAATTTTAGATGTACTTCCTGAAGCATATTTTTCATAGAATGTAGCGTGTAAATAGCTTTTTAAATGACTTCTTTTTTATAAGAGCAAAAGTATCTTTAGGAATTTCTTTCTATAGAGTCCTTCATTAACCTTTATACAAGTTTTTTGCTGACTCTGATGGACAGTTGGGTTCCAATGCTTTTTCCTTTTCCTCCTTTCCTTTTGTTATTACTCTTACTCTTATTTTCCTTTTAGGAACTAAGGTATTGCCTGAAAAACAAGTGGCGTCCGCGCAGCCTTATACTCTGTCTTCACAGAAGCAAATAGGACACAAAAGATCTATTTCAGACACATTTTGAAGACGAATCTTCAACTTTCATACCAGCTCTTTGTTTTCCTTCTTGTATGACGAGGGGGTCGGGGATACAGTTATTTTACTAGCACCTTGTGAAGTGTTTCTGTGTTTTGTGATGCCGTAATTTATTAATGTTTGTAGCTTTTTATATTTGTACATTTCTTATGAGCTTTGTTTATATACCCATTACCTGGATGTTCTGTACACGCAGAGAGGCAGCTGGGCGGAGGCCTTATCCACTCCTGCTCTGTCAGGAGGGGCATGTCCCCCTGGCCTGAGGCCAGCAGCAGGGGAGTCTCCCGGGGCCCAGGCTTATTTGGAACTGGTGTTTTAAAGTCCCCTTGGCCTGTCCTTGTCAAGCATTTATATAATCTAACCCGGGCAGCAAGCTGTTCTCTCTCTTTCTCTCCCTCTCTTTCTTCTCTCTTTTTAATTTTATTATTATTTTGGCAACATGTACATTTCTAACAAAGTTTATCGTGGCTATTAAAGTGTTTTATTTCCCAATTCATATTACTCTTGTATTGAGTCCATGAGGTCTGAGGCAACTTAGACCAAAGTTTTAAAAAAGTAAAAAATATTCAGGTTTTGTACAGAACCATGTCTGTGTCATTTCTGCCTCATTTGCTGACCCCTTAGTGGCACCAGTGTGGGGGTGAGGGTGAGGGGGCGGGCTGGACATCAGGGATGGCCAGGCTCCCCCACTAAGCTGAGGCCACCAGCATTGCCTGGGTAAAGCCCCAGACTGCACCCAAAGCTGAAGCGCCCAACAGGAGTGGGCACAGGGGATCCCTGGGCCTCAAGGGGCAGTTGCCTTGGAGACCTGGCTCTGCCAGACTGCATATGGGTGGGGCACCCAGCGGGGGTGGGCTTTGTCTCCATGGCATCACTATAACAAACCTACAGAAGCAGCCCCATTCGATGAAGTACAGGAGGGCAAGGAGGGTCCATCGCAGGGGCTAGGTGACCATCTGGGGTGCCTGGTGGTGAGCCCCAGTTCTGTCTGGGGGTTGGTGCACCTGTTGGGGTGACGACTAGTAGAACAGCCTTAGAGTAGTCAGGCTGCTCAGACGGTATGGCCTTGGCTCAGGCTGGGATCCAGGATTTCAGGGATGGCAGGGGAGTGACCCTGCCACACCACCCACGCCCTGCTGAGCAGGTCCCTGGGTGGTCCCGTCCCCTCCTGCACGTGCATGAGGGGTCTCACAGGTGATGGGAGTGATGCGAGGGGAGAATTCCAGGAAAGGAGCTGGAGCCTAGGGAGTTTGGCCAAGGCTGCCTCAGGCATGCAGGCAGCTGAGCCGAGGTTAGATGCCCATGTCAGCGCGCTAAGCCCACTGCCCACTTGGAACAGATCCTGCACTGGATGCCTGGCCACAGCTGCAAGGTTACGGGTGGGTGTTACTATCTACCATGAGTCAGGCAGTGTAGCAAGCCAACACACCGTGTGACATGGGGCAAATCCCTCACTGGGCCCAGGAAGGGACCTCTTCTTGGCCTGGGACTACAAGGTGAACCTAGTGCTGCCACCAGGTGGTGCCCTGGGCCCACACTGCAGCTTCAGCCTCTGCAGGACACTGTCGTGGCCCAGACCCCAGTAGGAGGCCAGCGGCTTCCCAAAACCCACTGTCAGAGACTGCCCTGGGCTCCTCCAAGGGTCCCTACAGCCACTGGGGTACAGTGCCCAGCTGCAGGCTTCTCTGTAGCCCCTCCAGGCCAGGCCCTGGAGCCCCCCTTGGGCTGGCCAGGTGGAGGACTGTCAGGGATGAGGAATCCTGGGCGCTGGACAGCTCCCAGAGGCCATGCAGCATCTCCCCGGGCCTGGGCTCCATCCTTTGCCTCCACCCTACTGGCCTATGTTGGTAGGTGGGGTGGGTGATGGACCTCACTGCATGCCTGGTGGCACATACATCTGTGGGCCTGGGAAGAGGGCCTCTAAGTGCCCGCAGCAGGGGCGGGGGCCCTGGCCAGGTACTTCCTGGTCTGGTTCCCCGCTACCCCCCCCCCCCGACCGCCTTGCAGTTGTTGCCAACAGGTCCCTGCTGGAGAGGTTGGGAGCATGAGGGCCACAGCACAGGGTGATACTCTATGCCTCCCTCCAGGGGGCAGCCTGGGAGACCCCACAGAGGAGGCTGGGGCCTTCCTTCATCCAGGCTTCATCACTCACGTCCAGGAGCCCCCACTCTGGTCCTCAGGAGCCTCTCCGCCACCCTCAGCAGGTACCTGAGGTCCAGGCCAGGAGATGGCCCCACGATGGGGGTCCCTTAAAGTCAGAGGACCTGAACCCAACACTATGGCTTCAGCAGAGCACATTCACAGTGCTCTGGCTCAGAGACCTGAGGCCCTCTGCCCCTCTCCAGGCCTGTCTGCCTGGCCCTGGTGTTCCCACACGCAACCCCAAGATGGTCCAGGGAAGTCATCTGTGGGTGGGACCCAGTGCTCCAGATTTCCTGGGCCCTTGTGGCAGGCTCTGTGAGTGCGGCTGGCCCTGGCTACCCTGCTGGCTGGGGTCCCAGGGTGCAAGGCTGGGTGTGGAGTTCCTGCTTGGCATTGAACTGCCCTGCAGAGCCGCCAGCCGCTCAGGCTTTGGCGCTGACCTCGGAGGTCTCACGCTGTTTGTTCCTGCAGCTGACCTCAGCTCTGGCAGCAGATGGGGAAACATCAGCAAGCTACCTTCACGTGTGTCCCTAGCTCCACCTAGTTACCCATGGTGTTTCTGAGCACCAGCTGTGGGGGGCTGCTGTGGAGACACTGTCCACCCTCACCAAGGCCACAGCCGTGGGCGGGGTCATAGTCATCACCCATCCTGCTGAGGCGGCTCCTGAGGTGGAGCAGGTGCCGCCTTCTATTGGCAGAATGATCCCCATTCTGTCAGTCTCACTGTGCCATAGGGCAGGTGTGGGCAGCCGGGCCCGGTGCAGAGGTTGGCCTGTGGGACATGAAGGTGCTTTCTGGGGTGGCCCCAGATGCCAGACTGCTCAGAAAGTGGGGCTAGAACCAGGTCAGAGTGGGCCCAGGTGTCACCTTGAGCATGGGGGTGCAGCGGGCCCTGGGCACCTACACTTCATAGGAGATAGAGTGGTAGGTGGGCCTCATGCAAGGGTCCCCCCATGCCCTCATCATGTGCCCTCCTCACCATGCCTGGTGGGCAGCTCAGCTTAGCCTCATGGGGTGCTGTCTCGGTGCCCAGCTGCTCTGGCCCCTGCTGGCCCCAGAGCCAGTCCCTGAATGTGGGGTTGGCAAAAAGGGTCCAACCGGGAAGTCGTGGGGCAATGCCCAGAATAAACACCAGGGGGCAGGGCAGGGTCAGGAACCGGGCCCAACCCCTCCAGAGGTTTAGAGCCTGGGTCTGTCCTGGTGGCGACTCCGGGACTTATGAATGCAGGGGGACAGTAAGCTGGGAAATACAATTATAAGCCTGCCATGCTGTGAGTGCTGGGAAAGAGAAGGTACAAATCAGATCAGCTTTAGTCACCAACCCTTCAGAGCACCAGTTGTCTGCTGGTCACTTGTGTCCCTGGGGGAGCTCCTATGAGGTCCTGTTTTACCCTGAGGCAGTGAGTCTCACACAGCTGAATTTAAGCACAGATGAATCAGCTCCAGGACCCTCGAGGTTGTTGAGAGAGACCCTCTGGCAGATAGAGGCCAGGAAGTCAGCTCCCCAGGCCTGCTGGAAGAGTAGCAACGCCAGTGCAAAGGCCCTGAGGTAGGGACAAGTGTGCTCTCTCTGACGATGACTGCAGTGAGGGGCTGCACCCATGGAGGACCACATGCAGAGCTTCCTTCAGGTGCATGTCCATCACCCACCACCTTCCAGCACTCTGCGCCCCCGCCTGCCCCAGCCTGTCCTGGGCCTGTGCCTGCCCAGACTCATCACCATGAGCAAGCAGGCAGCTTTGCAGATGGCCACACTGAGGCAGGGCCTAATGGACACTCGACAGCTGTGGTCTCTACAACCTATCCATGCTATGGAGCGGACGCACAGGTGTGGGAGGCAGAGCTGAGAGGGCGCAGTGCCCAGGGTTAGTAAGAAGAGGCTGCCATGTGAAGATCCAACCTGTGTGCCAGGCCTCCTGAGAAAAGCCCCTTAATGACAACCCTGGTGATGAGAAGGCTGGGAACAGGGGTTTCCTGACTCCCCAAGCAGTGTGGTCACATTTCCTGAGTGACTGATGCATAACCCGCTTTCACATGGCTGGCTGACCTCCTCCCATGCTCCCTAATGCAGGGCTGTGAAGGGATCAGGGCTGGTTCCGGGCCAGGTGCATCTCAGCCGATCTGGGCTGCAAGCCTCCCAGGGGGATGGCCACAGAGCAGAGCCAGCCCCCAGACCTTCAGGGAAGAGTGTTTGGTAATGAGAACAGCCTGTGCAAAGGCCCAAGGGCAGGATGAGCTTGCTGAGGAAGTGCTGGGAGGCAGTAGGTGTGGACAGAAGGGGTTGGGTGCTGGTGAGGCCAGAGTGAGCACCCTCATCCTCTTGGGCCCTGGGCAGGCCGTCACCCTGCCAGGCTGTGTGGCTTGGCAATGGCCTCTGCTTCTTCATTTGCAGAGTGAAGCTGATGGTCATGACCTCACCCCGAAGAGCTCCAGGGCCACCTCTTCTCTGAGCCCCAGCTTCTGCTCCCCAGCCTCCTCTACTGACCCGGCTCACTGTGTGCCCGCAGCAGGTTGCCTTACCTCTCTGGGTCTTTTCTTCCATTTGTCTTCCCAGTGGCTGGCAAGGACATCTCCCAGGGTGGAGGAAGGGTGTCCCTGCTCCCCTCCCTCCGTCCCTTTGGCCTTCCTCGCAGGACAGAGCCGGCTTCTGGTGGCTGGGTGCCCCAGGAATATCTGCAGGAGCCCACGCTGCAGGCCACGTGGATGCTGCGCCCCCGGCTTCCAGGCTGTGGACCCAGGCTGGGCTTGAATCCAAGAGGCCCGACCCCTCCTGGGTGTTTGGCTGAATCAATGTTTAATTAAATATTTATTCATTTCCAGTTTTCAGTTTCCTTTTTATAATTTAGGCATGAGTTCTTTTTATTTTCCAGCACCTTCCTGGTTTTTGTCCCCAGAGCCTGGAGGGTGGGGCCGGTGCAGAGAGGTGGCCTGGGGGGCCTGGCCTACTGGGGTGTCCTCAGCCTGACAAATGGCCTCAGTGAAGCCCTGGCTCCCCTCAGAGGCCGCCCACCTCCCAGCCTGAGCCAGGCTGGCCGCTCATCCAAACAACGCAGGGATGCCACCTCGGCAGAAAAATGATGCTGTTCCATTAACATCTGACACGGATTTGCAGGCCCCAAACAGACGGGCGTGCGTGTAAACACCCGGCCTGGGCTGGGCCCTTGCCCGGCCTCAAAGCAGGATCCCAGTCATTAATTGTCCGCTCACTGGCCTGGCTGCACCCTGGGCCCCAAGACCCAGCCAGTGTAATTGCAAAATCGGAATCTCTCCTTGCCCCCTGCAAAGTGTGTTTACACAACCTCGGCTGCACCCAGGAAGCTGGTAGGAAGAGGCGGAAGGGGAGGGTGTGCCCCATTCCGGGTACTGATGTCGGGGCAGAAACCTCCCACCTGCCCTCCCCAGCTGAGTGGCTTTGGAACTTAACCTCCTCCCTGCAAAATGGGGCAAGCAGCTTGGCCTCCCGTCACAGGGCTGAGACCCAGGTGCCTGGCACTGTACTAGGACTGTACCTGCTGGGCCCAAGCACCATCCACCAACATCCCCCCTGTAACAAACAGCTTCTTTGGGAAGATTTTCTAGGGCTACCTGCCTGGAATGCGCCCAGACTCACAGCACCCCAGGGAGCAAACTCTGTCCTGTGTGCGCTGAGGAGACACAGTGCAGCACACTTCACTCTGCCACTTCTGTCACTTTGGTTGATTCCTAAGTGCATAGGCCATTTTGAGGTCGGGACACGTGTGCCCAGAGGCTGACTCTTCCCATGTGTTGTTGTGTATGCCCCAGTGTCTGGAAATCCTATGGAGACCGGGTGTGGTGGCCCAGGCCTCTAATCCCAGCACTTGGGAGGCTGAGGCAGGAGGATCGTTTCGAGTTCGAGACCAGCCTAGGTTACAAAGTTAGCTTGAGGCTAGCCTGAACTGCATAGTGAGACCCTGTCTCAAAAAAACAAAAGAAAGGAAAAGAAAAAAAAGAAAAGAAAAGAAATCCTATGGAAACCGCAGATTGCAGATTCCTGTAGCAGGCCTGGGAAGGTGATTGTGTTTCCTTCTTTCTTGGGTTCTTTCCTTCTACAGTTCTGAGAACTGCATGCTTTGCCTCTGAGGGGTCTCTGGTCCCTCTGCTGGGGGGGGGTACTTTACAGGCTGTGACTTGGGGACAGTATTGTTTACTTGAGAGCCACTAGGATTACAGAGACAAACCACAGCAGTTCAGCACTTGCTCATGGGAGGGCCTGCGCAGTGCTTCCTGGAGTCATTATCCTGGCTGGAGAAAGCCGAGGACTTCACCTTTCATCTGGGGAAGACACCAGAGCACTTCCTTCCTTTCCACCAGTTCCCCCTGCCTCACAGCTCACACGGAGGCGCACAGGGAGCCTGGAGCTCAGCCCCAGGGCATCCAGTGTCAGGGCCCGCCAACTCCACACAGGACTCGTTTTCCTGCGGGTGCTGGGGGATTCCTGGGGCTCAGGTCAAATCCATGTCTGGCCTGTGCCCCTGGGAGACTGGGACTGAGGGCTTCTGTGAGGAGGCAGAATGGGGCTCGAGGTGAGGCAGGTGGGAAGTTTCTGGGGTGTTTTGTCCTTCTGTGTTGGTCTGGTATTACTCTGCCGCAAACTCAGTTCCGTTTGTGTTTCCACCAGACACCCGGTGTTTTCCTTGAATGGATGTGAAGCCCATCTTTTCTGCCTTCCTTCCTTCCTTCCTTCCTTCCTGCCTTCCTGCCTTCCTTCCTCTTTTGACAGGATTTCTTTCTTTCTTTCTTTCTTTCTTTCTTTCTTTCTTTCTTTTTCTTTTCTTTTCTTTTCTTTCTTTTCTTTCTTTCTTTCTTTCTTTCTTTCTTTCTTTCTTTCTTTCTTTCTTTCTTTCTTTCTCTCTAACTGTCTCTCTCCCTCCCTCCATTCCTTCCCTCCATTCCTTCCTTCCTTCCTTCCTTCCTCTCTCTTTTGACAGGATCTCTCTATATAGTTCAGGCTGGCTCGGAACTCGCAGGATCCGCCTCCCTTGGCCTCCTGAGTACTGGGATTGCAGGCATGTGCCACCACGCCTGGCTTTGTGCAGCATTTCCAAAGGCTGCTGATGGGCCTTTGGTTGCATCTGCACTGCCACCCTCTGATGGGTACCAGGCCTCCTCCCCAGGACCCAGATACTGGGCCTGTCCTGTCCTCTCCCAGGTCCATTCTCGCCCTCCCCAAATCCAGCTTTGAAAGCCCATCTCTTCCTGTCATCTTCCAGATGGTTACTATGGCTCCCCACTCACTGCCTGCCGGATCCTAACATCCTAGGCTTTCTTTTCTCTCCTGTTCCAACTCCCATGGTCCCAGCAGGGCAGGGCATCCTGGGGTGGTCAGATAGACCACCAGGCCCTGCGTGTGCTGCCCCTGGAGACAGTTCCCTTAGCCGACTCTGGTAAACAGTGGGGGTCCTGCCCTTTCAGCCCTTAACTCAGGAGACCCCAAGGAGAGAGAGGTTGGAGGTGCTGGATGAGGGGACTTTTACAAGAGGAGCTATTGAGTATATGGAAGTGGTGACGCAGCCTGGTGGATAAAGGGGTGTGAGAGGAACGAGGCTTGGGGCGGAAGGCTTTGCGTGTACACGGGCCAGGGGCGGGAGTGAGGGCCTGGTGTTGGGGGAGGCCGTGGTGAGGACAGTGGGGACATCCAGCGGCCCTGCTGGGGTTATCGCATGTCCTCCTGCCAGGTCCAGGGACTCACAGCTGAGGGAGCGCAGGCAGGTGCTGGTGAGGAGGCAGACCAGCCTGCCTCCACCGTGGTGCGCTGGGCTGCAGAGGGCCACCCAGGTTCCCCAGCCCAGTACAGGCAGTGGCCACTGGCCTCAGTCCCACACTCCCTGAGTCTGATGCTCCGGGCACACCCTGACTGGGGCTGGGCTCAGCAGGCGGGCATCTGTGTTCCTGGGTGGCCCCAGGGAAGGGTGTGGGGGGAAGTTCCCACATGGCCTGCAGTGCTCAGGCTCAGGTGTAAACAAAGCCCAAGGGAAGCCCTGGAACTGTCAGCTTTTTGTCCCCAGCCCCAAGCCTGGCTGTACTGAGTTCTAAATTTTAAATTTTATTTAATCTTTATTATTTAATTTTTAAATTCAGAAAGCCACAAAAAAAATTCAGTGAAATACTACCAAATAAAAGTGAACAGTATGTAAAAACTACAATACATCATGTTTTAGTAAATTTACTCTCAGGAAGGCAAAATTGGTCTCACATTCTCAAATCAATCAGTATTAAGAGAATAAAGACAAAAATCATATGATCAAAAAAGACTTGATAAAATAGAGCACTTCCTCGAGACAAAAGTTATCAGGGACCTAGTGATAGAAAAGTAATGCTTCAACCAAATAAAAGACATCTATGCATACTTTATGGTGAAAACTAAATGCTTTACCCCAAGAACAGAATATTATACTTAACTTATAGGGCAAAAAAACTAAATAAAAGGCATACAGATTGGATGACACTCATGGATGGCATTAGTATGTTCCCAGACATTCCTAAGGAATCTATAAAAGAGCTCCCGGAAGTGTTTTGAACAAAAATCTAGGGCATAAATCCATTTTGTGTGTAATGGAAAAAGGAAGAGACAAAGAAAACACAGGCAAAGGCCAGCTTATCAAGGTTATAGGATAAAGATTCACCCCCAAAATGTAATTGTATATCTATATGATCATAGTGAATGACTGGAAAATGAAATTATAAAGCAATGCTTTACAGAATAGTATAAAAATGGAATGCTTAAGATATGTTTAACAAAAATATTTGCAAGACTTATATACAAAAACTACCAAAACTGAAAATAAAGACAAAGATGAGGTAAAATATTTTATTAATTGGAAGAGTCATTAATTCTGTCAATTTCCCCCAATTAATCTATATATTTATTGTGATTCTATTCTAAACTGTATATCTGGTAGACACTGAAATGGAAATGAAAAGGACCTAGAACAATCCATAACAATTTTCTAAAAGAAAAATATCGAAGGACTACACTATTTAATTTCAAGATGATATAAATGTATAAAGCTTTGTTATTAGTTAAGCAAACAAAACAGTATAGTAGATATAGGAAGATGGAATTGAATGGGATAGTTAGACATTAATCTGCATGTATATGGTCAATTTATTCTTAGCAAAGTTACCAAGGCTGTGTGTATATGGTCAATTTCCTTTTCTTTTCTTTATTATTTGAAAGAGCAAAAGACAATAAAAACAATGATACAGAATTTCAAAACAAGATAATAGGAAATTAATAATGGTTAATATATTATGTATAGTTATCTTCAAAGTAGTTGCTCAGATTACAAAACATGGGTATGCAAAATTGATCAAACAATATTAGCACAAACTGTCCTTTTCAATGAACTAAATTAGTAGTATAATTATCTAAGCTATCTTGTATATATATATTTTTTTCTTTTTCTTTTCTCTCCCTTTTATTCTTTCTCTCATCCCAGTTGTTCTATCCTTTTGAGCAGTTACTTTCCTTTTTATAATATCTATTGTAATTTTGTCTTTTTTGTGTGTGCTGGAAATCAAACTCAGGACCTTGCACTTGCCAGGCAGGCACTGTGCCACTGAGCTATATCCTAGGCTCTATTGTAATTTTGGATCTTATTTATTCTTTCAGTTTCTTACAGTAGGGAGACAATACGGTGTTTACACATGTGAGTCTGATTTATATCACTCATGAGTATGGTCTCTAGTTGCATCCATTTACCTATAAAAGTCTCAAGTTTATCTTTCTTTATAGCTGAGCAATACTCCATTATATAAAAATACTACATCTTTTTTATCCATTCCTCAGTTG